ATATAAAAGAAAAATTATTTCAATTCCCATTCATCAATTTCAGGAGTCAGCTTTCTTTAATCGTACTTAAAAAAATTTTTTCTTTGTCATGTATCAAAGTATTTCTCAACAAATGTCTTTTATATCTACTGAGTTACCATAAGACAATATTTTTACGATTATTCTCACTTTTTTCTTTGGATTATTCTTTTACTTATTCTTAATGTGACCCTTAAAAGACGAACGATAATTTTAAATTTTCCACAGTGATTATTAACACATTCGTTTTGAACGATTAGTATTATTATTCAGAATGATCGAGCAGCTGAATAGAATTCTGAATGTAAACTAACCTCAAACTGTTTGGTTAAGTAGGCTTTTCATTTAAAATGAATTGTTCGATCATTAGTTAGATAGTTCGTCTACACTGTTCTCAAGACTCATATCAGCAATATACATCTACCAAATGCTTCATGGTTTTCAGTAATTGCTTAAGTGAATTCAGTCCGTTATTGAGAATGAGTAATTTAGTAATTTCTAAAATCTTCTTATATTAAAACCGACTGTGTTATTACGGTTTCGACCTTCCTTTTAATATTATATTTATATTATTTAACTAAAAATGTAATAATGAAATTTGATATTTGTTCCAAATTAACTATTATGAAGTCTTTTATTGAAACATACAGTATAAAACATTATAATTAAATGTTTCTTAATTGAATGAAACTAGTTTTGTAGATTTAATGTACTTTCTGTTCTCGATTCAAATTTCACCCTAAACATGCACGAAAAGAAACAAATATGAATCAAGAAATCGAGTGGTAAAATAACTTAGAAACAAAAATGAAATACTTGTAACTAGCATTGTCATGATTGAAATTTACTAAAATATATATCATTTATTCTATCTAAAAGATTATCTTTTTATCTTTAGCGAAATAAATTTTAATCTTATCTATAAATATGAGTTTCTACCCAGTGTATTCCATTTATTTCATGCAAGAATAAGCTTTTATCATTTAATGCAATATAACACTTAAAAGTGTATATTTACGGTGAACAACAGTTAATTAAATCATTTGATTGTGACAGTTTCACTAAAATGATTCGTTTCGTTACATTTTGTTGTGGTAGAATTACATAAATGGCAAGATATAATCGATGAGTGAATATGAAAGTATATAATCAATGTCTAGTTTCTTTGTGGCAAAAGATGCACTGGTCCTCAAAAATGTTGAATGACATATTCACTGATTAGGTATCGGTTACAAAACAGGAAATCATTAGAATTCCAGTTCACTTTACTTATAATTTTAATAGATCTCAAAACATAGTTTAGACGAGCTCATTTTTCAGATAACTGAGTATGAACGCAGAATAATGTTACTGCTCACTTGCTCAAAACAAGGTAGCTAGAAGTGGTTTGTACTACAGGCTTAACAGAAAGAAGTTGAACGTCTTGACTGCTGAATTAGAAACATTACGGCTAATTAAATTAATCTATAATTTTAGTTAACAGTTAAAAAAAAATTACCAGTAAAATCAAAGAACCAAGTAAAACATAGTGTAACTTCTGAAGTAACGTTTAATTAGAACATTTCGTTAAACGTTTCTGTAGATTTAAAAATTATCTCGCTATTGAAATTAGGATAGTTGGTATTGTTTATCCAAATAAAAGTTGATTCATTTCCATATGAATAAAATCAATAAGCACATACTACTGAATTATATCTTAACGCATATATGTACCCTAACTAGTGCACTTAGCAAAGTGCAAGAACCATTTTCACTTTTAAGAAACCAAAAAGAATAGCAGAAAGCAAAAAAAAATTCTAAATATGACATATCATAATATATATATATATATATATATATATATATATATATATATATATATAAATAACGCAATCATATGGCAGATTTACTATCTCCACCCTTTTATAAAATGTTAACTCTACCTTCCGCTGTTTTCGAGTTTATTGATGTTTCTTTTATTATTATTATTATAAGTATTAGTAATGGTACTGCAGATATTAGCATTCTAAACTCTTCATTCACATGTAGCCATCCATAAAAACTTTCGTAACAAAGACACAGGGAGAATAGTTTTATTATCTTACAATAGACGCTCCTATCAATTTATGTGTTTTGAAAGTGACTACTTTAATTATATATATATATATATATATATATATATATATATCAAACTATGGTATGAAAACAGTAACTCGCTATTTTTCCAATCATAAATCTTTGAAAAAAAGAATATATAGCACACAATATGAGGTGCAATAGCTTACAAACAAATAATGTTGTATACTTTTGTTTTCATTTAGAAAAGTTAACATCATCAAATTCTGACAACATGTACGCAATAAATTTGCATACAACACTGCATACAATCACATGGTATTACAGATTATCGTATGAACAACCTAATCATAATATGGAATTATACAACTTTGCATTATAAATTATCTTCCTTTGCTGATATGTTTATAATAATCAATTTTGAGTGGAAACAGAAAGGACTAGTGATCACATCTTGACTATGGGATGGAATAACTATTATATTCCACGTGTAGATGAAATGAAAACACTACACATAAATTTAAATAGATAAAGCCCTTACTTTTGATTAACTTGTTTAATTACAGTTAATCGATAAAGGCAAATTATTTATGAAAAGTTAATAGTTTTCTCCTAGCCATTAGTTAAGACTCTTTGATTGTCTGAATTTATTATTTGATTTCGTCTAATTTGACTAAAATAATTTTCACATTTCGAAACCATGAATCGATCAATGTTAGACCACCATTAGAAACCTGGAAGTACTGGACGGCCGTTTCGTTCTGGTATGGCACTCATCAGCAGTGCTTATCCACGACACCTGCACCTCGCAGGATCCGAACCCAGGACTTTCTTTATTGTGCTCAAACGCCTAACCTCAAAATGCGTAACTTAATAAACTTCACAACCCCGTAATGCAAACTACCTGTGCTCACTAATGACTAGCTTCGTTAGGAGTCTTCTCCGAGTTCTAGTGGGAAGTCGTGAAGTGAAGTTGAACCTTTTCGGGTATAGATAGTAACTACCGAATACAGTGTATGAGGTTGCGCAACTCCGTGAATTGATCAAGTTAGACATGAGGACCGTTAGATACCGGCTGAGCGGCCCACAGGTTAGGCGTTCGCGCACAATACCGAAGGTCCTGGGTTCGGATAATGCGGGGTGAAGGAGTCGTGAATGCGCACTGCTGATGAGTCCCGTACCAGGACGAAACGGCCGTCCAGTGCTTTCAGGTTTCTGATGGTGGACTAACATTGATCGATACATGGTTTCAAATTGTGTAACGTAACAATCTTCTCAACCCCGTATTGTAAAATTATTTTAATAACGAAAATAAAAAAGATGGATAAAATTATTGGTTATATAACAGTGAGTTGCTTGAAATAGTCATTAGTGCTATCATAAGAATTGAGAACGAAAGACTAACAATCAAATCATCCATCTCACAGAACGGAACGCTAAATCAGCAACCACCTGAGCTACAAATTGTCTCTGTAAGTCGCATTCGAAAACGCAGTGCATTTCTTTTAAGTTGAAATACAATTAATTGCATCAATTGATAATCTATCTAACTGATTTTGGCACAGCCATGATACAACCTAAAGTGACAATCGTTATTCCTAACATTTTAAAAGTGACAAAATCTTGCCATATGTTTATACTATAAAACTGTATATTTCACATTTCAGAACCGAATGATTGACGGTTATAACGGAATGGAAACGCTCAAAGTAATAATATCTAGTTAAATATTTTATCATGGATCCATCTTACGTTAATTCTACGCAATTTTAATCTGAAATTACAAAAGAATTTTAATTACTTTCACATATTTATAACTAATCAATTTATTTGATAATTTAATTTTAGAATATAATAACTATGAATAATTTAAAGTAATACTAGTCTTACAGATAAATTTATATATTACCACAGAATAAGCTACATTTTCTTTTATGAAGTGGTTTAACTTGCTGTTCAGACAGAAGTGCAACGTTAGTTGATACCACAAATTTCATAAAAATCTATGGAATAATCTCCTATGTGAAACCTTGAAATTCCAAATAATCAATTCCTTCTTAAAATTTAAAGGTTTACTTGCAAATTTTAGCAATTTTTTGACAGAAACGAATGACACCGCACTTTCATTACAATTTGAAATCAGTTGCATGTTAAAAGTTTTTGATTGAGAAGAAAACATGAAATGAGATAACGTTTCACACGGTTAAAAAGTATGAAATCAATCTATTTACATTTCAAAAACTACATGGCTATTCCTTCTAAAATTTGTTTTTGAATGAAATTCATAGTGGCATTCAAATCTTATTCGAATCATACTTTGGTCTGTTTTGCCGTCAAATTTAATTTATTCAGAAGACAGGAAATCGTTTTGTTCCATATATTTTTTGCTTTATATTTTAGTCGTTTGCTCAAATGAGCATGTATGATTGTCAGCACATGCCAGCCTACACATTTACCTCCATTCTCTAAACAAATATTAATTACTCACTCGCATAAGCATGCATTTTCGCTCGTCACATTTAGTCACTTTGCTATGAACTAGTTGTATCGTTAGATTAGAATGTTTGAAACAAACTTTCGTGGCTAAACGTGTACGGACTCCTGAATATCTTATACTGGTTGTGAGTATCATATTAACGAAAATTAAATCGATCTGTAAGGGGATTCACGAGGTAAAACTGTCTTTGGCAACATTTACTACTAATTGCGTAACAAGCACTGCAAAAATAGAATAAATCAAAAGAAGACATGAAGTATTCGATGTTCTATTGAATATAAATTAGTAATTCAAACAGGCAATAAAACACTGCTACCCTAACTTTCATATCTATTTGCCGGCGTTATTTTCCATAAAATATTAGTATATCTTAGTTAATTTATTTTTATCTGGTTGATAATTAAATGCTAAACTAAATTATGCTACTTACTTTCACATGGTCTAACAAGTGTTTGTTGTTGAACCACATTAAAATAATTCGAGCCATTTATTAATCCTTGAGTTTTATTTGGAAGATCATTTTGAGCTGAACAAACGTGTGATATTTCATTTATAGAACTAGAATAAGAGTTTATTTTGATGGCACCATTTTCCATACGAATTGGTTCATATGATATACATTGTCTTGATGAATTTGTTTCTATAAGTTTTTTGGAATGATATGAAGTAGTGCACTGAATTAAAAAAATATCTTTTATGATACCTTGAAAACTCGGTTGTATCGCGGCACTAAATAATGCACGTTCAGTTGCATCTAGACGCATATCATCTGGAAGTTGTCCCATAAACATATAAGGACCTAGTAAAACATAATCCGATATTGAATAAAACTTTGAAGGAGAAAAATCCACTGGTGGGAAAATTTTCACTTGAGTGTGAAATTTATTGGTTTGTAATTTCACGCCATCAATTGTATGGTTTGTTTGTGATTCAAAAGTAACTTCTACAGTATTCCAACGACTTGAAAAAGTGCTACCTGATTTATGAGACATGCGTGAATCAATCTGACCAAAATAAGTATCAGTGTTACCCTTTTCTGAATAATCTAGAGTTATTGTTGTATGTGCTCTTGTTATACGATACTGAGGTGTACGTAATTCAAGCTCCAATTTTATTCTGTTATTCGGTAGCAAAGTGAGTGCAAAAAATTGTCCAGTTTTGTTATTTTCTGTATACAGCAACAAACCTGTTGAACTTGCAGTGAAAAAGCTAAAGTATAATCCACCTGCAGGACAGGGTTTCAGTTCTGGTAGAACTACGTAACTATTAGGCGTTCTAAACAAAAAATCAGCCATAATTCCTCGCTCATGTAAGACCGAAACTGTCAATACTACATTAATAATATCTATGAAATTAAAAACTAATCTGAATGGATTCATTATCCATAGTATAAAATTAAAATATAATGTAAAACAATCCCCATACATGCATGAAGTTTGTAGAGATTGGAAAATGTTTTCCAAATCATAGACATTGTGATATCATTGACGCGAACCAAATAAATTTTTCAAAATGAATAATTATATTATTCAAATATTTATTGTGAAGAATTTAATGCCAGATAAATTAGTCAATAGTATCTGTTGTTTATCAGACATTTTCTGATTGGCACTTTGAATGTCAACCAATTGGAAAATTGAATGATGCTATTTCATAAATCTACTCCATTTAAACTAGTTTGCTTACAGTTTTTAGAAAAATGTGGAATATATATTCCTTGTGGAATTATTTACCATACATCAAATATATTTATAAATCGAAAAGTAATTGGACTGAAAAAAAACAACAAAATATGATAAAATGAAATGTCGAAAAATTATTTTCAGATGAGGAGTTTGCGATAACATTTATCACACTCATCGTTGTAATAAATAAAACTCAAAACAATAAAAAAAATATTTTGATACGAATAAAGCATTATTAAACTGAATGTTTGTTTCACAAAGCCTCAATATATTTTGTTGATATATATTCAATATAAGATAAATTTTACGAAGACATTATTAGTGTGATGAATTCATTTGGTTGAATTATCTTTTAAAAATATTTTTGAGTAAAATATTGTTATCATTCATTTACATATTGATTCATGAACAATTTTGTCTAGATTCATGTTTGGTTATTTTACTGACAGACGCAAAATATGATCGATATTATTTTCATCATCTCATCAAAAAAAAAACGGGAAACTTTAGAAGCGATTGTTCACGCACTAATTACTCAGTAATCAATAACTGTTTATTACATATCCATATATTAACTTTTATAATGTTAGAAGTATAACAATAAGAAAATTTAATAGTTGTCAAATTAATACTTGTAACAACAATGGAAATCAATTAGGTTAACCTTTAAGGTTATTAACTAATACAAATAGTAAATTGTGCAAAGATTATCAGCATTTCATTCAATAATCTCTCCACTTAAAACATATAAGAATACCATAATAAACCGTTATTATTATATCAATTTACTTATTTCCGTTGAATATAAGGTTTGTTAAGTTTTTTATTTACTGGGGATTATTTCATTTAAGCTGACAATGAACAGCTTTCTTATGTAGTCACTCATAAATAGTTTAGCGTAAGGTGAAATTTTCTGAATGCTATTTTGAGTATATTTATTCGGTTAAAATATATATGTTTACATAAGTTATAAAAACACCGAAATCCTCAATGAACTAATAAAATGATTCTTATCAACAAGTTAATTACGTAACAGTGGTTATATTACATCGAGATACGAGCAACAGTTTCCTTCAGTGAATAGCTATCTCATGATATGATGATGTTATTTAATGTACTGAATGATTCAGTTACTTTTATCCAGATATTTGGCAAAAGTATGAATAAACAGACTAGATGTTTTGTTTGAATAATAAAACAGTGTTTAGAACACTGCTTATATGTAGCGCTCTGACTTGATTTACACTGAAAGTAATTTGTTACTAACTTCTCTATGTACTCCAACGATACTTATATGCTTAAAGCTATGTTCAACTTGAAGAAATCCATAATATCTATCCAAAGCGATGGCAGGAACAAACTCTTATTGTCTTTCGATTCCCTAACATTTTTTTCAAACTGTCACTAATCCAGATATAAATTCAAAAGTCAACTTTATTGGTATTTTTGAATATCTGGAATAACAATACTTCTGTATTATATCGCTGTTAACAACGAACTTAATACAACTGAAATAAATTCTCTTAAGCAGAGGATATTTATTTATTTTCATTCGTAGTCATCTATGTATGTGTAACAAAAACCAATTTCTTAAAAAAAAAGACAAAAAGTCATAGATCATTGATAGTGTGTGCACACAAATAAAAAATAACAAATAACCTAATAAATCAGAAAAAGATCTTAAAAACTTAAGCAATAAAAACTTTGACTGAATTAGTTGAAAAGGAACAAGGAAATCAATTTAACAATGAACATGAATGTATTTGATTCTATCCAATTCTAATTTTCTGTTCACATTATATCCAGAGAAATAAAGCTGATGATAAGTAAATTGAAACATGTATCTTTATATCATAGGTAGCATGTAAAATTAAAAAGGCTGACTGTATTACTAATAGCTATTATTTTCAAACGAAACTTCCCAATCATTGGATCAGTTAACATCAAACGAATACGGTTTTCGACTTAATCAGCTGCATATGTAGCGAATCAAATATCAGTTAATAATAGAAAATAATATACTCCATAAAAAAGGCTCAGTTATAATCATTTTTTAAATTTAGACATTATAAGGAACCTGGTATCATCAAATAGAAAAATGAATATGTAACAATCAGGGGAAGCTTTTGTTACAGAGGAAAATGATTAAAAGTAATTGTTTTTTTCATTTTTGATAAATCAAGTAGCAATATTATCGAAAGATTTAAAAATGGCTTGATATCGATTAGGTGTGCCGGCTTGAAATGTTCGTTGTCACTTGCCAAAATAGTAATGCAAAAAATAATTCTTGATAATTTTATTGTCACCAGAGTTCAAGTTATTTAAAACATACCAAAGAAATCTGGGGTAGAACTTTTGACAATACAACAAACTTAAAAAATACACATAAAGTGAAGCAATCACTAAGTTTCTGTATGAGAAATGATTTCATAGGATGTAAATCTTACCATTTTTAAGCTATTGAAGTGTTTTCGTAAAACAAATATGACTGAACGACTCAAAAGGATAGTGACCGTATTAATCGGTTGACACCTTGAACTCAACGTTCTTGCTTTTCAGCAAGCTGTTCGTGCAATCTTTAGGTAAAAGATGCTTCCCTTTGAAGTTGAAAACCGAGCGTTTGTACTGTGAGAAGCTAGAATAAATAATTCGAAATTTTACAGTACAAAAATTGAACAACAATAATGTTCAACGAACAAATAAATTAAAATCTAGAACACAGAATTTTACAACATTAATCAATGGAGCTAAATTTCTTATCGTTCATTGTAATTGAAGGTATGAATTACAAATATTCAAAGTGTGTTTTTCTTTCGAAGAATCGAATAAAAATTCTTATGTTGTTAAGTAGGAATTTTCGATTATCATTTCGACACTGTATGCATAAATATAAAAATAAATCTGTATACATTTTCAATGAACAGCAGCTTAAAATCTGTTTGCGTGATGGTAAACATGTTATAAATTATCGATAATTCTCTTGCATTCTTTTTCTCACCTATTCATGTTTGATGATGATATCCGTAGAGAAAACAATTTTACAAATGAAAATTTTTCATATTTTTAAATATTTTTGTACTTGTGAAACTTTAATAAGTAAAGAATAATGGATTGGTTGGAAAATTACTGAGGAAAACAACTGCATATTTGTCAATGTTAAATTGAATAAAAAGTGCCGATATTGTCTTTTTTTATCAACTGTGAAATCACATCAATTTTGATATATTTTGATTATATCTATAAGAAACTTTTACTTGAATTCATCCAAATGATTTAAATATAAAATTTTGGTGTTATTCTTAAATGTAGTACTTTATGTAACTTGGATTACAGTAATTGGTGTAACTAGTGAAGGAAAAATATAATCTTAAGCGCCTTTATTAAGGAAGCAGATTTTTTTATTTGTAACGAGTTGTTCTAACAACGTATTTGCAGTTTTATAAGTTCAGAATGTATAATTAAAACTGATCTGAAAATATGCAAATCAGTTTTTATCAGATCTACATTAATGAACAAGGAAGAATAGGTAGTTGTTTAACCAGACGATTTATCTTTTATAAATTAAACTGTTCAAATAATATGGATCCAAATACAGTTCGTAAGTAAATTCAGGTAATGTTATGGGATATATATAACTAAACATATCTCTTGATGTGTTCACATACTAAATACAAGTATAAAAATGCTATGACAATCCATTCGTAATTCAATAACATTACATATCCATATGAAAACAGAAAATTTGTTAAAAATTAACTATTTTCTACCAAAGCAGTCGATACAAATGATTTATAAAAACAAACAAAAATTTTTACAGCTTGACCATTTAGTTTTTTTATTTTGAATAAAATTTTATTACCTACATTTATTTATACTAGTTTTATCTATTAATGTTTACATCAGTGCAAAAAAATGATGTGCACTTCATTGACTTTTCACTGGTTAAAGGTAATTTGACCATAGTCGTTTTGATTCATAAATTTGATTTTTCCATATTCCTGTTATTGTATTGAACTAATTACGACTACACTCAATTTCGACTGAGTAAAATGTACAACAACATAAACCAAACAAGATGATAATCTGAACAAACTTATAAAAGATTGAACGACTCAAGCAACACTTTATAGTTACCAATTGCTAAATGTGACCTCAATGTCAGTTGATGTATTTTAAATATGAAAAGAATGGATTTGTGTTTTAAATCATTCAATAATATTTAGTTGATGCCTAACAATTATACTTAGCATTTAATATAAAGAGAGCAATAGAATAATGAACGTTTACTGTGTTATTACATCAATTTTGACTAAAAGCTCTCTAGTTCAGATAACCTACTGTGGTAGAGAACTAAGTAGATTCCAGCAGAGGAAGAAATTCGGAAAAAGCCCAGGAGGTGGATAGGACACAATGTGGAAATCGTTCAACTTTATCACGAGGTCGGCTGCAACCTAGAACCCTCAGGGCCAAAGGAAAAGGGGTCGACCAAAGGACCCACTGCGCCAGGAATGGAAAAAAGACATGAAAAGAACGGATAGCTGTTCTGTAGCACTGGAAAAGATGTCCCAGGACAGTTTTGTACGTAAAGTAATTGGCGGTATCCCATGCTT